CCAATTGTTCAAGGGGTGTAATTACAGGTTTCAAGACTTCATTTATAGCACGCTCACTAGTGTCTTTACCAAGTTTCAACGTATTATATTTGCGACGAATTGTTTTACTTGCCTCAGCAATGTGACGCAGAACGTCCGACTCAAGTTGCAAGTCTTTACGCTGCATATTGAAGGTTATACGTTCCATTCAACACTGCCTCAAATCTCCATGTTTAACACCTATTTATATGCACATAGCAATCGAATCCTTTTCGATACCGCCCCTCATGCAATTCACAATCTTTATTAATTGTGATAAACCCATACTTATCAGTACTCCAGCACGCTGCACACAATTCCTTGAACTGGGTATATGACATATCAGTATTGACATGATCATGATAAATGTGTTTCAATTTCATGTCATCCTGATGAAAGAGTATGAGCAAATTTGTATTATCACGCACCAAGTGTTTTGGGATACAAGTGTAAGTCTGACAGAGATAGAAGCAATCTACATCTCGATGTCGACCCATGCAAAAAAATGTTCGCATGTTATCTTGTTTTTCACAGGCAACATCATCGAATATCATAATAGAGTTGGGTTTAGTCTCCTCAGGTTTAACCACTTCATCATGATCATTGAAAGGAAAATAGCCAATCACTTTCACTGTTTCCAATAACTTTTTCAAAAATTGATATTTTGGTTGATTTAGAGATTTCGAGTATACGTANGTCATCATGATCATTGAAAGGAAAATAGTGTGACATCCGTCGAAATTGTTTAATTTAAATTTTCTTTCGAAAAATATTTTAATTAGTATTCAACGGAAAAACCGTTGAAATAGGAAGTTTTTTATCGCGTTGGAATTTTTAGTTGAAAAGGCCCGAAGGCCAGCTGCAAGTCGTAAAATCGCAGTTACATTTTCCGTGCTGACTTTTCCCCGAAAAGTCAATCGTAAAGTAATAGACATGGGTCAGGGCCTTGTCATGCTGAAGGCATTTCAAGTGCACGCCCAGTCTTAGCTCTCTCTTTTGCTTTGTTTCATAATTCGGACGTGACGTGTACAATGGGCAAGTACATTGGGGAAACTCAAACTGTCCCTTATTTTAGCTTGGGGTCTGTTTTCTTTCAAGGCCA